AACAAGAGGAAGTGTACACTCTTTGGCAAGTTTCTGATTAAAAGGAATACGTGAAACACTAGTACACAAAGTTGCTAGGACAGTATGGTTCTACATCAGGCAGGAGATGTCAGACGAGATGCTCATTCTTCATCCGGCTATTGAGAAACATAACCACATCAGGAAAAAAATGGTTACCACATGTGTCAGGGTTCTAAGTTAATTCCATATCAAGCAAAACTCCAAAGCAGGTAGATTCCTCAAAGAATAGCATTATTGGAAATATATTGGCACAGATCTGGTGAAAACCGACTCTGAAGACTTCCACGGTTTTCACCTGATTAAGTGTAAAAGTTTTCCCACTTTCTCAAAACAATCAGTCACATGGTCCAATCACAGTGCGGTCTGGGCCGCCTTCTTCCGACCATGTGTGAGGATGTCCTTGATTCCTAAGGGAAAATATTTTGTTTTGCCTACAGAATCCCAACTATCTCAACTCCCCCCTCTCTATCCCTCAGCTCCAGTGTAGTGTAGTAATTTCCGAATTATAGACACTATTGCTTTCCCCTGGATAAGTTTGACCAAATGATGATTTTAAAACCTTGCTATTGTAGAATTTCAATGGGTTAGTAGCTCAGTAGGGGGCGCAATGGCTCAGTTGAGATTCGAGTTCTGTACAATGGGATGAGCTCCTGTTCCCGCCTCATATCTCACCCTCCTAGCAGTTCAAAAGCATGCAAATGTGAGTAGATAAATAGGTACCACTTCAGTGGGAAGATAAGAGCATTCCATGTACCTTTGGGCATATAGCCATGCTGGCCACCCGCCCACAGAAAAGGTCTTCAGAGAACACTGGCTCCCTTGATCAAAAAACGGAGATGAGTACCAGCCCCTAGAGTCAGAAACGGGAAACCTTTATCTTTTTTAGTAGCTCACTATTTAACTATCTTGCACATTTTTAGTCTAGCAGTTAGGTAAATAACTAGTTCAGATTTTAAATAATTTAGACCTTGTCCAATAATTTAGTATCAGCATTTATATTATTTTATTTCAAAGTGTCAATGTATCTTCCATTTAGAAATTAGTAATGACATGTCTGCAAGAAAACAACTAAAATCAGAGGGCCCTAGTGACCCTACCATTTAGAAATTTTATTTTTATATTCCTAAGGCCTTTGTAATATTCCACAAAATTATATATGATTTAATTCAGATTTAGACATTAAACACTCTACTGGTGTTTCAAAAGGCTGGGAAGACCTCGCTATTTATCCAGGCCTTTCTCAGGCATATTTTTTTTTCCATTATTCCCATCTGGATTTCTTCTCTCTGTTTTATTCCGCATTGTTTTTTATTTTCTCACAATTGCAAACCAGCTAGAATTAATGGGGGTCTGGGAACATATACATTCATCATTATCATTATTAATCATCGCACAGTCAGCCAGAAGTTCAATTTGGGTTTGGCATTTTTGTCTACCTATCGAGTCCTTACCAAGGACCTGGGATAGGCAAATCTGGGTGTTTGACGGTATTACATATATCATCCAGGATGGAAGCTGTTCCAAGTAAAGTCGCCTTCTCCAATTGACTGATGGCAAATTTGTCAATGATTATGGTGTTCAAATGGTCTCCAGTTGTTTTGGGACTGGACCCAAGGCGCCTATTACTATTGGTACTACTTTTGCTTGCCTTTGCCATAGTTGTTCTTTTTCTGTTGTTGGACTTGGTAATTTGTAGGTCCTTGCATGATTATTATTATTATTGTTGTTATTATTGCTGTTATTATTGTTAGCAACCCGTATAAACCAGCAGTGCCAGTCAATAATATTTGTGATTCATTTTTAAATGTTCAGTTGACTGAGTTTCATGTTTAATGATAATGATAATAATGATAATAATGATGATAATGATGATAATGATGATAATGATGATAATGATGATAATGATGATAATGATGATAATGATGATAATGATGATAATGATGATAATNATAATGATGATAATGATGATAATGATGATAATGATGATAATGATGATAATGATAATAATATTGCATAATTAAACAAACCTTAAAATATATTAAAAACAATATACAATGATCAAGAAAATTCATTCTTTAAAAAGGTGCAGGATGGGATTTCCCCCCGCCCCCCAAAAAATTGTAACAGAAGAGGTAAATTTTCAACATGCTGTAAAACAGAGCATAAAATGCACCTGCAAAATTTCAGGAATAATCAGTTTTTCAATGGATGGGGGGAAATCTGGCCATGAGCAATCACCAGATGTCATTCAGCATTTCCTTTTCTTACTTTTTAATTTTTTTTCGTAATCTTTAATTGATTCAATTTTTTTTCTTCTAGTCAATTGTGTCCCTATAGTTTTCTTTTCAAGGTTTCCAGAAGTATTTTGTCATTGTCTCCTTCCCTTGTTCGGTTTAGGCAGTGCCCAACTCCAAAGTGGAGTGTACAATTCAAATAAAAAATAATATATCAACATTATTTTTTTAAAAAAAAGAATGTCAAAAGAATAAAGAACAAAAACCAGTGGTCAGCGGGAAAATGTCAACATGTCAAGAAAACCAGAACTTACAGTGGTGAAAAGGTGACAGACAGACATCACTTTCTGAATTACGTGGAAAGGGAGATTAAGGGAAAAATTGACTTCCTGTTTCTTACTAATTGTTTGAACTGGGGAGAAAGCAAGGGCACATTTTAACTTGTACAGTGTGTTGTGAATATGTGACTTTTAGGAATAAGATAAATTCATACCTTCCTATTTTGGCTACAGAGTGTGAACCAGAATTTCCCAACTTTGGCAAGTTTAAGACACATGGACTTCAATTCCCAGAATTCCCAGCCTGAATTTTGTGAGTTGGTCCACAAGTCTTAAAATTGCCAAGTTGGGAAATCTTGCTGTTGTTTTGAACTAGGCATCCCCAAAAAGCATGAGGCAGAGTTCTGGTCCCGGCAAAACCCCTTTTATTAAACGAATGTGAATTCCTCTCATTGACATTCAGCAAGGCCTGGCAAACAGTCTTTCAAAGGAATATTTATGACTACAGAGCTTATCGTGGAAAGCTGCCATGTAAATATTTTCCAAATGAGGTGCTGTGCAAGGAAAGACTGGGCAGAGTCTCTGAGATTCACGGACAGAACTTCACACTCCTGAAACTAATCTTAACCACCGACTGAACGAATTGTTTCCTGCAAAAGCCCACTCCCCTTTCACTTCTCTTTTATTTCCTATGGGAGGGGCCAATCACCTTCTACCTGTGACTTTACTCCCAAGTCTACCCTGATTTCTGCGTTGTTCTTTTCTTCTGGCAGCTCTGTGCATGGGCCCACTGGGAACAGGCTCTAGCTGTTCCTCTGCCTCACTGCTGTCTAGCTTCATAGGCACCTGATAACTGCC